TCCACGCAGGGAGAACAATTGTGGGAAGCCCTGAGGTGTCGACCCTTGACTCTCTCCCTGTGTGTCAGGTGCATGCCACCCTCCTCACCCCCCATCCCGCTGAAATTCAGCAGTCAGGGTCCTCTGAAACACTCGGCATCTTCTCCATCACAGTCTTACTCATGCAGTTAAGAGCACGTGCTTCCTAACCACACAGACCCCCTGGGTTCCTATCTGGGCACTCCCCCTAACCAGCTGTACGACCTCAGGCAAGTTAACTTTTCTTACCCAGTGTCCTCAAGTGCACAAAAGGGTTAAAACTACCAGGGTGTACACAGTGCCTTACATGGAGGAGGCAGCCGGGAAATGATGACCATTATTATTATTATTATTTATTCTTCCATGTGACCTTATCTTCCACTCCCTAACCCCAGCGCCAGCTTCTGATGCTTTCGTACCAAATCATAAGGCCCGCAGCTCCATCGCCTTCCGTTTTGCCTGGTGGAGTCTGCCTGATGCCTCTTCTGTCTTAAATCCTCAACCCTGATCAGCCTGTTTTCTGGCCCTAGGAATGTTCATTTTCCATATGCTCCCCAGCTGGCTACCAGCTCAGTCTCCTAAAGGTTAAATTCGTGTTCCAGAACATTCCTTTCAAGCATTACCTTTCTTTAAAAAAATGCAATACATCAACGGTTAGGATATCAAAGGAGCTACACACACACACACATACACACACATGCAATCGCATGCATGAGCGCCCACCCACCTCCATACGTCTCTGTGTGAAAAGCCATCTAACTCATTAAGCCGTGTTTCATAATTTCCCAGTAAACTTTTATATTTTCTTGCCACAGAGGCTTCTGTAATTGAATTGGCAATGTCATTACTGAACTCTCTAACAGTTCAACTCAGCCAAACTCATCAGCAGTAGCCAGTTTCTAGAAAAGGCTTTTGATATCTCTGGGCCTTTGCCTTCCCCACCCCCTTGCTCCTCCCCACCCCAGGCCCCAACCCCAGGTACAGCTGTGCTTGTATCATTGGCCTTCCATGTACTATGACTGAATACAGGCCAAGGACTGAAGGACACAAACCCACGGTCCTCCCAAATGCTTCCGACCTGCTCTGTGGTTCTGCTCTTCCAAGCTGAGCCAACCTTCAGCTGGAACCAAACAAGAACCCAGGGGCTCCAGTCAACTCAGAGGCGCCTGCATTTCAGCTTGTTGTGAAACACATGTGCCTTGTGAGAAGACCCCTCGGCCACCGAAACTGGAGAAGGCATATGTGAAGAGTTTGAGTCTCCTTTGATTTGGGCGTGGGGACATTGCTAAGGAAGAGCATTAGCCTGAAGAAGGCTCCAAGGGACATAAGCAGCCTTCGGTGGCCGCGGCTCTTCCTGGGTTTGTGGATCAGAGCTCACGCGAGGCCCTTGGGCCAGGGGGTGGGGTAGGTGGTGGTGTAGACAGGTGGCTGTTCTCTGGGCTGCAGAGTGCCCTGGCCGAGGCCGAGCAGAGCTGGAGCTTGGTGAGGCAACGCCGGGCCTAACCGAGGACCCAGTGCTGCCTCTGCACACCCAGGGCCGTCGGAGCTTGAAGCCTGGGAGCTGCGTCTTCCTGGGGAAGTCAGCTCTCTAGGTGGCCGTAAACTGACTACACAGACTCTTTCCTGAACACGTGTTCAAAGGTGATCAAGTAAATGCAGACAGTTTCTCCAAGCCTCAGCGGAGGGTTTCTACTGGAGTAAATGAACTAAAAAGCACACATAAACACACATACATAGGAAAGGGAACCACAAAGGAATGCTCAAAAATGCCAAATCCTAATACACCAGCCGGGAGAAGGCATGGTTGGACACAAGTGGCAGAGTGAAAGAGAGAGAGTACAAGAACAAAGCTGTCTGGGAGCTTTGCAAGAAGGCACGCACACACACACAGACACACTCTTCAGAAAATCATGCAGGGTGCTAGCAGTGCTGCAGAGAAACATTAGAAATACCTGCCCTGCAGTGTCAGCTGAGGAGGACGAAAACCCTGTTGGTGACACTGGACCAGCGGTTTGATGGAGAAACCTGTAGAAGAGCACTGGGTAAATGCTACCCTGGGGTCTGCCTTCCGTGGGATAGCTGATTGATACACTGTAATTAGGACTAATCCTTCACCCTTCCTACCAGAATTCCAGAATGAGGACGCCTGCAAATCCCCCAAAGCTAATCATCATCCTCATCATCACTAACACTCAAGGGGGCTTCTCATGTGCCAGGAACTGGATTTTTTCCCTACATTACAAAATAATCCTATGAAGTAGGCACTATCCTTGTTTTACAGATGAGAAAACAAAGGCTCAGAGAGGTTAAGCAACTTACTCAAGTTCACACAGCCTGTAAATGGGGGAACCTTGGAGACTTATGAGAGGGCAGAGAGAAGCCCCCACCAATGGCCCACAGAGCTTCTCATTGTCGCATTCATTAAGGAAGTGAGGACTGTCCAGTCTGGATACTGGCCCTCTCTGCAGGAGAGTCTCATGATGCTGAAAGTCCGCATTAAGACAGGCGAGTTACCCAAGGTCATGCAGCTACTGGCAACAAAGCTGGGCCAGAACGGGTCTTCTCCATCTGGTCAAGTTCTTCATGCTACAGCCGGGCTCTCTGTTCAATGAAGCTCCGACAAGAAACCAAGCAACATGGGAAGATGAAGGCGAGGGTGGAGTTGTCCAGGAGCTAGATACCAGCCCTCCAAGGCCCTGCTGTCTCAGAGATGAGTTTACTTCCAACCTATCGCAGTGGCCAATGTGCACATTGGCCAGAAACAGGCCTCCTATGAACCTTGAGGAAGGCTCTGCCCAGGGCCTGTAAGCCAACATGTTGACCTTGGCAGAGCTCGAATGCCCTCTTATGCCAATAAAGTTACTAAAACAGAACTGGGTAACACTTCATTGCCCTGCCCCCAGCATGGGAGGTGCAGAGCTGTCACATGGCCTGAAGCCCAGAGTTCCTTCAAGGATAGTTTTTGTCTCATCCCCAGGTTCATTTCCTCCGCAAAGTTGCACGTACCGGAGATGCCTGCTGCTCCAGACTCGCCCTTGACGTGCAGGCAAACTCCTTCCGTTCAAGGCAAAGCCCAGGACTCGCCCTGCTGTTTAGGGGCTGTGCCTTCCCAGGCTGCGGTCTGGGACCTCCATCACCCAAGCGCATCTTCCCAGGCAGCCGGACCCTCTAGACAGGCTCTGTGCCCACTCGGAATACAAGTTCCAGAAGAGGAGCATAAGGCCTCCTCAACTCCAGCCTGAGAACTGAAGACATAAGACTCCTGTTATCCTAGCAGTGGCTTTATTGTGCTCCTGACGTAGCTCATGAAGCAAGAGCTACAAAACGTTTCCACGCAGAGAACTCTGCTTTTCATTTCTCTAGGATGGTAATGTTCATTCTGAAGTGCAGTGCTGCCATGCAGAAGGGGTGGGGAGGGGCGAGCGGGAGGAAACGGGCCTGCGCCATCACTTAACCAGCGATTAAATCTTCACTCTGCCACTTTCCTCCTCAGTAATCACAGGCAAGTTAAATTCTCGAGCCTGTTTCCTCACTTGTAAATGGAGATGATCATGGCTACCTCGAAGATTTGTGACAACTAATGGTGGCAGTGTCTGAAAGTGCCCAGCACATAGTGGGCACACGGCAAACTCCTCATTTCCTGCCCTCGTATTTTGGGCATCCAGAATCGGGTGCAGTGTAATGATGCTCTTAACTGAAGCCACTGCTATTTGCTGAGCCCGTTTCAAGAGGTTCATGTCACATAAAGGACATGTGCTATTAGGCGTGTGTTAGAGAGATCTTGGGGCGTGGTCGGCCCTAGATGGAGAGAGCACATGCAGGCCTTGAAGGCAGGGGATGCAGAGAAGGCACAGGACAGGGTTTCAGGGCAGAAGGGCAGCTTCCATAGTGGGACAGTGGGCACATTGTGCCTCTGACAAGATGGGAGATGAAAGTCCTTAGGCTCCAGCCCCAAGAGGATGAACTAATTTTCAGTGGAAAAAGGAATCAACGAACCCCTTGGGGCACACAACTAGTGTCCTCCTCAAGGCAGGACAGGGGTGGCCATCGCCACAGTGCTGCCTCGGCTGTTGCGGACCCCTTCTGGAACTCAGTAGGCACCGGGGAGCTTCCTTCCATTTGGGCTTTTTACATCCAAGGGGATGAATCAACCCACAACAATGCAGAGGAACACAATACCTAAGAAAGGAGCGGGAGGGAACGGACAAGGAGCTATCATTCTCGCATGCCTGCCCTAGGCCGGGAAGTGGACGGTGCATCTTCCGCTGAATCCTCAGGCCAGCCCTGTGAGGTAGGCAACGATCCCCATCTGACTTTCTGACCTGAGTAAACCTGGGCTCAGAGAGCCTTCAAAATCTTGCCCCAAGTCACAGGGAAGAAACTGGAATTTGAACCTAGAACTGACTCCGAAACATGAGCATTTTCCAATTCCTCATGCAGCTGTAGGAGGGGCCGCCACGGGAGGGCACAGGCCATACCATGAGGATCTCCTATCAGTAAACTCTCTTGTGTGTGTAGATTATTCACGACCTATTTCAGTTTACTTCTGGGTAACCATACAATTACTCTGTCACAAATAGTTAAAAATTTTTTCCTATGTGCCTAAAAAGGATAAAAACTGCTTGCAAAAAGCAAAACAAAAACTAAAGCCAAAAAAGAATTCCAATCCTTAAACAACACCAAACCCCAAAACAACAAATGTGCTGAAAAGAAACTTCCAACACTCAAATTGTAGGTTCCTTGTTATTGTTCCAGGACCACGACACTGGAGCAAGTCATCGTTCTAATCGGCAAAACTGACGGCAGAGAGAGGGGCACAAGTTCTGGACCGCGAGCTCACTGGCCGGGATTAAGAGGGAGCTCGAAGCTGCCGGCTATCATTTTCAATGCAGGTGGTAACAGTTCTTTTAATTAACTCATCAAACGTGAAGTATACCAGAAGCGGGGGTATCACTGCGTCTACACACAACTCTGACATCATCTGATTTTAACAAGTTTACTAAAACGACAGTCATGGCCTTGACAATACTGAATGCAAAATACTGGTGTACACAGATTTTACAGACGGCTCCCGAGAGCCGGGTCACAGAAGAAGGTTTAACAGATGGGAGAGGCCTGAGGGAAGGCAAGCACACTGATTTTATTGAGAAAAAAGCTTATATACTGTAGGGTTGCTGAAGTTTAATAAATAAAGGTCAACTTATAATATATAAAAACAATATAAACATTTATATGCTACATGCATATCATATAATTTAAAGTAATAATTTATATATGGGGAGAGATGCCAATTCATGTTCTTCCGATTTTTCTCGACAAGGCACACACACAGGAAGTGTCTATCCGTATCCATCGCCAGCCTACGAGTTTATTGTTTTCTGACGTCAGTGCTCGGACGTACGTTTGGGACGTTTTGCACTGAGAGTTCCAGTGTTTGTCGTCGATCCCCCTGCAACCGTTCTTGACAGGCCTGGCTTCTTTACATCTCGTCTCATAAAAATATTGTTTGACAGGAGAGTTGCCGGTTTTAATCTCCCCCAGCACCGTGACCTGGTGTCCCCGAATGTCGATGGCTGATGACTTGTCGGTCACCCACAGACTCTCGCTGTCACACACGGAGTACTCCCCTCGGTGGCTCTTGTGCTCCGCGTACCTCTTCCGCCGCGATGTTCTGTTGGCCGCCACGGGGTTGCCCACGTAATCCTCCATGAGATACAAGGGCGGGGGCTCCAAGGGCGTGCTGTCACTCAGCAGGACCCGGGGTGAGTTGTAGCGTCTCTGTTGCCGCAGCAGCTCGGTGTCCATGGCAATCATTGGCTGGAATTCCGCCCTGGCGGGCTCTCCCCGCGCCGGCTCCCGGGGGGCGTCTGCTTTGGGCAGGGTGCTCTGGTAGTTTTCCTTAACGTCCACCATCTGCTTGGAGAGCTTGTTTTTCAAAATATCTGCCTGGATCAGCTTAATAATCAGGGAATTGAGTGAGTCTTCTGGCAAACTCCTCTGATCCATGTTGTTCCCTTGGATGCCACGGAGATAAGCGAGAAATATCACATAAAACAAGATGGACATCACCTTGTTCACCTGTAAGAGCTGAAAAGGAAACACAGGTGTTACTAGCAGGCTGTGGCAGCTGAGTCCACGTCATTCGGGGACCAGCCACCTGTGAGAGCGGGAGAGCCAGGCATCACCACCCTCGGCGAGCACCCGAACTCTGGATGTCCAGACAAGGTTGTCTGTTTCTTCCCCGACCCTGGGAAACACTGCTTTAATACAAGCCCTCTGAATCTCTAAGGCACCTTCTCTCCTCGACTTTCACATGCCTTCACTCAACAATCTTTCTTCTAGCATTGTGGTTGTGTGACAGGGCAAGAGATGTTCTCTGTGTCTGCATGTGGGTTGTGTAAGTGAGAGAGAGAGGACAAAATCATTTTTTAACAAAGTACCAAAAACGTTAATGGAGAGAATATGGTATAGGGCGTTTAAATCTCTTTCTAGGACCAGGCCACAAGGAGCATGAGAGGCTGAGGCAGGATGAGGAGGCCGCTCCGGTCTGGTCTCTGCTTTCTCTCCTGGACAGACAGCACCTACTGCATCTGCATCTGAAGTCTACTATATCTGCAGCCTTCTGTTGTGTGTGGACGATGTCCTTCTGCTTCTTTAAATATCACTTGAGCCTGGAAAGACCATCGCCCACTTCACCTTGGCAAATTATGAAGAAATTGAACCTGAAAATTATAAACACGTGTTTACAGTCTTTTATCATCAGCAGTAGCCTTGCAATTGTCTCAAGAAGTATAGCTCTACTGTCTCCCGTCCCCGGCCAATGCAGCCCCTGGGGTCTCTCAAAGGAATGAACACCCTGAGGCTGGGGGCTGGGTCAGCTGCCTCTATACTGTGGCGCATCCCTGGCCGGGCCAGGCCCGGTGGAATCATTCTCCTACCCCTGTAAATGAACATATGGGGCCACAGCCCACTCTGTGCAAGGGGCCTGAGTTTCGGGGTGCTCTGCCAAGCTCCCCAATGGACATGCTTCCCCAGGGCACCTAGTTGCTTCTTGGACACCTCCCTCACAAGGCAGCAGCCCTGCCAAAGCTCTACTTGCGAAGATGGAGATGCAGCAACAATCAGCTCAGATTAATGGGCTGGACTTGCCCTGAATAGCAAGATTCCTCGTTGATTAATTTTTTCTTGCTTGGTTTTTTAAAGTTTCCATTACAAACTGTTTCTTTTAGTGGTTCTATTTCTAATTCTCTCATCTAGCGTAAGTGGCATTTTAACCGATCAACGCTCTCATCCCGTTGCCATAGTGGAACCTCAGCACAGGGTTTCTGTTGAGTCCTGGTGGAATTACACGGCTGATCTTGAGACAGCTTCCTTGCTGGTCTCTCCCTCACTAGAGCAAAGCCCAGATTTTCCAAAGCTTGGCGCTCTCCAACCTCTCCGGGGGGTGGGGGGGGGTGCGGAGTGGTGGCTACGCTAGCGACATGACCTGTCCCCTGTGATTCACGTCACCTGCCTGGAGGAATTCACTCTTTAATGACCATTGCTACCACCTCACTGGCCGCCAGGGGAACATCGTTTCCTCTTTAAAGCTCTGTCTAAAATGGAAAATAAAAACCCTTCCCTCCGTTCACCTTTGGTATTTCCAGACTTTGCTAAACCTAGGGGGAAAAAAGAAGGGAAATAAACAAAGGTGACACAAGAGATAGAAAAGCAGTCCAGCTTACCAAGTACCCACGTCCGAGCCTGCCCTGCCAACCTGCTCCCAGGACTCACAGCCGTGGCCGCTTCCTGTCTTGTCTGAAGAACCGCTCTCCTGTCCCCAGGGGCCAACAGCGGCGCAGGCACTTTGCTCCAACTTCCTCCTCCCACCTCCTGGCTTGTCTCTCTGACAAGGGATCATCTTCCTTCCATGGGAACCCCTCTCTGGACCACTGAGTCCTTTAAGGTCAAAGATGAGGGGAGCCTAACTTTGCTGACCAGCCCTAGAGATTGCCCTAGGAACTGTATGATCCTAGGAAGATGGTTCCCACAGGCTAACTCATCTCCCTCCCATTCTGGATATGAGTGACATTTCCTTCATCCTGCGGGACCAACAAAACAAAACTTGAACAACCCCAGAAGTACGGCATACACGCAACTAGAATTATACCTCCCTCTCCCCATCAAAATAGAATAGAGCTGCAATAAAATAATTTGGGACTGAGAGTCTATCAAAAAACAATTTATTAAATCACCCCAAAGTCCAGCCTTCGTAAGCTAAGAATATACAGGCTGTCTGCTCCCAGGGAAACAGATCAGGTGTGGTCAGCGGAGAGGTCCCAGGTAGAAGCAGAGTCAATGTATAGATGTGTAAGGTACTGACAAGGGTGAGTTGATAGGAAGGATGATGGATGATGCTGATTGACTGGGGATGCAAAAGGAAATCACTTTACGGGTGGTGGCCTGCATATGGAACCAAAAGGTATTAGAAGGAGGAGAGCGTTCAATCCAACTCCTTCATTTTATAGATGATGAAAACCTCATCCGCAGTTTAAAGAAGAGGAGAGACACACCTGGGTAGGGAGGGGTCCTTTGCACTCCAGGCCCAACCTCTCCTTTCAGCTTATTAAGATCAGGCTCACACGCCCCGTGTTCGGCCCCGTTCACCGTTCAAAAGCTGCTTGAATAAGCTTTACGACCCCCGCGCATGTGCTGTTGCCCTCACCTTCACCCTTTCAACACCTCTCCTGCTGACACTGGCCCAGTCTTCAGTGCTGGTTCAAACGCTAACTTTTCCACGATGCTCTCCGAGAGCAGCGACCACTGCTTCCTCTGCATTCCTGCACCATGTTTCCAGAATGGCTGGGGTGGTAGGTATCACATCCCTTATGGCATTACATGGCTTCTTCACTAGATTCTTTCTTCTCGGAGGCCACAAACCCCTTCCTTCCCGTGTGTGTCTGCGCCTCTCCCTTGTGTCCACGCCGCAGTGAACACAGGTGGAGGTGAGGTCCGGGTGCAGTGAGTCAGAGAGAGAAGTGAGGGTGGCTGAAGGCAGAACCAGCCACAAAATTTGCAGGGCACAGTGCAAAAATTATTCAGAGGCGGGATAGTGGCAGGAAGCATGAACTTGTTTGAGCCAATGCTTTGAGCCCCCAGGCGCATGCTCCATTGTCCCATTGGACCTCACTTACAGAACACACATTCAAAGATAAAATTCTTAAGAATTTCAGGAGGATGACCAGATAGCATTAAACCCTAAGTGTGGGGGTCCCTTTCTGAGTGCAGGACCCTGTGCAAAGGCAGCAATTGCAAGTCCATGGAGCCAGCCCTGGATTCAGGGACTAAGACATTCCATCTCAGTGAAACGGTTTGAAGGTAAGAGTAGAAATCCACTTTTGGTCAGGAGGGATGCGCAAAGCCCAGAGAGCACTGTGCGGCAGGGGGTCCTGTTGAGAGCTGTGGACAGGAGCTGTGATGTCAGCGACAATCTGGCGGGGAGAGCCTGGGGTTATGGAACATGAAAGAGCCCTTGAGACTGCCTGCTCTCCCCTTCCGGGAAGCCGCGACCAAGGAGCGGTGAACTAAACGGGGGGCCATGGGAGGGGTCAGGATCAATAGGGAGGAATATTTTATCACTGATGTTGCTAAGAACTGCCAAGCACTGATCCTAAAAAGTAGACTGACTTTTACTTGATTTTATTATTGTTTTTAAATTCTCTACAGACAATATGACTGCTTGTACCTGGGTGGACTGTTCCTACCACCCAACCCGGGTGTGCGCATTTGGTTGATTACAATGCGGATCTCCTGATTCTTTGAAAAAACCCTCCCCCTTCTCGGGTCCCAAGCACGCAAACTCAGCACAAAGAAATCAGGCCACCACTGTTGCAGGTGGTGTGGGATAAATGGAAAAGATCTATAATATAAAAAGTTCCCAAAATGCCCCTTAGCGTAGGTCCTACCCATTTCTGGATCTGTACTGTTTCTTATCAACAAATCCAAAAACCTGCCACGATACTTTGGAATAAGTAATGTGAGTAAATCATCTGCAGGTTGGTTTCCAAACTATTTGAAGGCTGCATTAAAACCCAGCAGGCTTCCTGTGAACTCCACTTTGATAGTCTTTTTTAGCTTTTTCATAGAGAGCGAGCCCAAGAATGTTGCTAGTAGAACTTGCCAAAACACAGACGTTTAAAGCTGCAAAAGACTCTACAAGACCTCTTCCTTTTTAGAAATAAGGAAACCGAGGCCTGGAGTGGTGGCAAGGTGAGTTGTGTAAGGTCAGACTGCTAAATCTCGGCTGAGGGTGATGGAGGACACTCAGTTCTTAAGTGCAACAAAAACCATGTGGCTTGTGCGTAATCATGATTATTGTGGGTGTAAATAATGAAATCTATACGAAAGCACTTAGCACAGTATTTGGCACATAGTGATACACTGGAAATGTTCAGTGAACGTGAACCTGAATTATCTGTGACAGCAGAGATGATGCACGCCTGCCCTCTGTGAACACATGGAAGGTACCAGAGAACTGGTTTCCTGGAGTGCGGTGGTGAAAAAGGATAGGCAGTGCCAGCTCGACCCAGGCAAGGCACACCAGTGAATTCTCCAGTTGAGAGAGACTTTCATGCTCCTTCTCTGGTGGTCACTGTAGTTTATAAAGACTCTCATTTAAGCAACTGACCTATTGTGTTCTCATTGTCACTATGTCCCCTCTTTGATGATGGGGCCATGTCTTTTTCATCCACACGTGCCTGATGCCTAGCACAAGGCCGGACTGTTGCAGAGTCTCAATGTCTATTTGTTGAATGAGTGCCTACTACGATCAAGACCCACCCAAGACACTGGCCTGAGGTCCTGTATGGCCTTCTGCCAAGCCTGGTTTGGAAGCCAATCAACTCTGCCTTCTTTTCCCAAAGAAAATACAGGCCCTGGCTCTGAAGTAGGCCATGGTCCCCAGGCTCTTCTTGGCTATAATTGGAAAAAGACCTGTTAAAGACCTCAGTAAAACCCCTTCCTACCCTCTCCCCAGTGCCCGTTTCCCCTGCTCAGAGTTTTCCAGATCCTGACCAACTTGCATATGCTATTTCCCTCACTTAGAAATG